CACCTGGACTCGTTTAAACAAAGCCATCAGCACGGCCAGGTTTACATACGTCGTTTCAAAATGTCTAAATTCATTATAGTTTATCTTAATTGGGCATTATTAAATTTTTGTGAAAGGTCATATAAAAAGCATGTAAGTAGGCAAGGTATTTTCTTCCCTGTAAAAGGCATGTTGCCAACTCTTGGTAATTTAAGATAAGAAAAAAAAGGCTATTAAACATGTGTAATCAAAGATAATAAACGTGATGGAATTTGAGTCTGAGGCATATGCAAAATGGTCATCAAAACTGATGATTACTGTAAATTAGAAACTGGCCTGGGTATGAATTACTGTTGCACACAGTATTGTGAGAATTCGTGCATGTGCTGCAGAATTGCAAAGACAGTAGTGACTCAGGGCTCACTACGAATTGTCTGACCAGTAAGGAAAACTGTCCTTCATAAGCCTAATTTTTATTATGTTTCCTTTCATCTTACACTTTTTTGGTCCACATGGTGTAAAAGTAATCTCTCCTGAGAAAAGTTTCTTCCTACTACTCCTGCTCACAGTATTCAAATGAACACTTGAACAGTGTCGCATGGTGAAGGCTGCCTCCAGTGCAGGCGGAGTGACGGGATTTGAACCTGGATTCACCCCCTGGCTCAGGGCAGCTCCTGGAGCAGAAGGGCGCAGAGCTATCACAGCTACAGGAGACAGGCAGGAAGAATTCAGGCCTGGCTATATCATTTTCAGGGAGTAAAGGGAAGAACCCCATTTAAGAGGGGGATAGGTCTATTGATTCTTTAGGCAAGGATTTTTTAAATTGAATTACAAAATGTTACTCCTTTGGCTTGGGCTGGACAGTTTACTTAATGAGCTAGGTAGGCAGTGTCTTCTGTGCTCTGGTTATAGGCTGCCTCAGCAGGCCAAAGCTTCCCTTATAAGAACCAAATGTCTTTGTTGTGTTAAATCAGTATCCAGTGTTTCCAAGGGGCCAAAGACAGACTTTGCACTATTACTTTTCAGTTAGAGACAACTGATATATATTTTTTCCAAGTTAGCAAGTGTTCCTGTGTGTGTCTCTTCATATACAACTTTGGAAACGTGCTTGATTTTAGAGACTGTACACTTGCAGCAGGATGGAGAGTCAGCGTGGAGGGAGTCTAAGGCTACCCGTTATACTTCCAACAAGCTTTCCTTGCTTGCACTGTCCTGTATCAATGAATTGAGAAGTATATTACCCCTTCTACTGTGAGTTTTTTTAAAAAAAAATATACATAGATGGGGCCCTACACAGTATATGTATCGTACTTGAGGCTAGGATCTTTTTCATTTGTTACTTACCACAGTAGGAAGAAGTGTTTTGCTTCTACCATTCTAGTCCTGAGCTATGACAGTTCATTTTATAGCTGAAGAAACATTTCTTCATAAATATCTTTAAAAAGATGAACATTGATCCAATTGAGGACAGAAAATCAAGAATTGTAATTACAAGGGAGAAAACTGATGTTTACTTTGATCTTTAAAATTCTGGCACCTAACCTTTCAGTAACTTCCAGTGTTCTTGTATAGTTTTAAAATGTTGTAATAGATTAGGGTTCTGAAATAGTCTTGATTTTTTTAAAACCAAAGATTTTCTAAGACCTTAAAACATTCTGTATGCTAACCAGTTTAAACTTATCTGGTTATCTCATCAAAGGATATTCTTTGCATTTTTAAATTGCCTTAAGAATCTTTTAATTTCCCCATTTTGTAAAATTTTACATTCCTATTTGTCTGAAGTTCTAATTTTGCGAGTATGTCTACATGAAATTGTATGTATTGAAAAAAGCAATATTAATAACTAATACTGATATTGTTAAAAAGGATTTTGGTGCTATAAACTTGTAGCTTAAATCTAGTAGAAGTCTTAAGTATAGGCAAAATACATTTCCCAAGGGTGCCTGTCATTTAAAAGACCAAATAAACATTTTAAAACATAGTGTTTTAAAAACTAGCAGATTGTTAGTAATTTCAAGGAGAAATTATCTTGGTCATTAAGTTGCAAATTCCTATTTAAATGGAGTAACCCACATACTCCCTTTGTGCAATAGGTGCACTCTGGAAAAGTTACATGTAAATAGAACTTTGTAAATTGTTTTTCCATTGACAGTATCTGATGTATTTTCACTTAAAAAGGGGATTCCATGATAAAATAAAAATTTTAAAAGAAAAAATGTTTTGATAAAATGTTAATCCTGTTCTGTTGTACATTATATTTAATCCTTGCTGCCATTAAAATAAGATAAAAAGAGTCTCATGAGGTTTCATAAAATCTGATATTTTTGGTTCTGTGCTCCCAGAGCGTGTCTTACTTCCTGCAGATCCAAGGGCTGTGCTTTCTCTGGAATCCTTAGCAGTAAGTTCAGTCCTATCCTTTTGTTCCTTCATCCCAACTTCATAAAAGTTTTTTAAATATTATTGAGATATAATTAACATAACTGTATTAAAGGTGTACAACATGATTTGACATGTATATATTGCAAAATATCTACTCCCAAGTTTAGTTACTGTTACCTCTCACAGCTTAAAAAAAAAAAAAAAAAAAAAAAAAAAAGATTTTTGCTTATGATGAAAATTTTTAAGATCTACTCTCTTAGCAACTTTCAAATATGTAATAAGGTATGGTTAATATGTCACTATGCTGTACATTCCGTCCCCAGGATTTCTTCATCTTCTAACTGGAAGTTTATAGCTTTGACCACCTTCACCCACTTCCTGCCCCTGCCTCTGGCTATTCTGTTTCTCTGAGTTCAGTTTTTTTTAGATAGTCATATAAATGAGATCATACAGTACTTGTTCTCTGGCTTATTTTACTTGGCATGATGCCCTTATAGCCACTTCATGTTTGCAGAGCATTAATTGACCACATGGCACCCACGAGCACCAAACTCACGGACGTACCAGAACAACTCCTGTTGCCCTCAGACAAGGGTGTAAGTTCTGGGGTCTAATGATCTACAGAACTGTCTTCTCTGTCACCTTTCACTGAGCATTCATGTTTCTAGATAATTCTCACCGCAAGACTTGCTTACTAAAGAAATTCTTCACTATTTTTTAATCAAGAAAACATATTAGCAAAGATTTTTCTGTCATTTTAATTTGGTCATTCTTATCTCTTCTGCATTATAATTCAGCTCCAAAGTTTGATGCTCAAATGTCATTAAACTTGGTTCATAATAGTGAAGTTTCTTTTGAAAACTCTGTACTATAGGCATTTAGAACTTACCACATCATACTGGAATAATTTCAATGAAGTCTATCAAATATTCTATAGACTTGGACTTTTTGAAATATCCCTTTAGTTCCTGTGTTCTAAACTTTCTTACGTACCCCTTCAGGAACAAGCTTATTTCCTGTAATTATTCTATCCTGCTCTATGAGGCCATATAAAATTGTTAATACTTCACCATTTTTACCCATAAAAATAGTAATTTCATACAGTTGAAATCCCACCAGTACTGTCTAGTCTGGCCATAAAGGTGAATTGACAAACATGAAGAATGGTTCTGTGGACCTGACAGGAACCAAGCCTACGATAACCAAAGATTATTTTTACAGCAAAGCAAGACCTTTCTTACCTGGCACCCAAAGCCACCAAGCGAAAGAGGAAATCTGCGTAATGTGTTATAATGGGTTTGAGGAATCTTTCAGAGATAAGTGTCAAATACTTTAAAATTTCCAGAGTTCCAAAACTGGGAGGAATGAAGACCTTTCCCATGCATCTTTACTGTTGGCCGGCCTTCCGAGGATGGCTGTTGGGCTGACGTTCTCCTGCAGGAGGTCTTGATGCCCGTCCTCTCGGGCAAGTAAGGAGGCTCCGGCAACTCCAGCTCTTGTGAGTACGAGTGGCCCTGGGGACACAGTGTCCTCATGCCCAGCACGGTGGCCCCTGCTCTTTTAGGGACCAAATGATGAGCATGGCCAACCATATGTGGGTCAAGTCATCAAACATCTTTTGTCCTTCGATTGTGAAGCTTTCCTTCATGTCTGCCAGGCCTGAGGGCCTAGAGATCCCAGCCTCAGGCCTGTTTGCAGGCCTAGCAGAGCCTCAAGGCCAACCCCTGTGAAAAATAGCTGACCTTACCAAGAAACGGTGCTGGTATCTCTTGGCGTTCTGAAGGAGTCTAGCCTTTCAGGAGGTAGTGCTAATTATGGATGTGTTTACTATACAACCATGGAATTATGCTTTAAAAGTTTTAAAAGGAAGGGAAATACAATTCTGGAATTTCCTGCATGGTGAGATGATGGGCCTTTTTTTTTCTTTGACCGTATCTATTTAACAATAAGACTTTTTTTTTAATTTTTTTTATTTATTTATGATAGTCACAGAGAGAGAGAGAGGCAGAGACACAGGCAGAGGGAGAAGCAGGCTCCATGCACCGGGAGCCCGATGTGGGACTCGATCCCGGGTCTCCAGGATCGCGCCCTGGGCCAAAGGCAGGCGCCAAACCGCTGCGCCACCCAGGGATCCCAACAATAAGACATTTTAAAAGATATATCTAATTAGTATCAATTTTCAGAGATCAAGAAATATAAATATTGAATCATGAGGGATTTACATGGTCAATCAAATCCAAACCCCAGTGAGTTGAGGAAACCTTCAGAAAAGTCATGTAACTTGCCCACGATAATACAATACTAGGTACCTGCTATGTGTTCCAGCTAGTGTACCAGTCACAAAGCTAGGAGTCAAATCTAGTATTTTCTTGCCCATTACCCTTTCCTCTAAACTTGATGATGACATTCATCTCAGGTATTTTGGGTCTTTCTCCATAAGGATCTACTTAACACTGTGGTTGCTCCATATAAAAGATCATGACCCTTCTCTCTAAAATGCTTATTTTTTTTACTTGGGAAGAAAAAGCTTTGGACAGAGGTCTTTTTTTTTTTTTAATATTTTGGTAAAGTTTGTTTGTTTATTTATTTATTTATTATTTGAAAGCAAGAGAGGGAGGGGAGTGCACAGAGGGAGAGGGAGAAGCAGACTCCCTGCTGAGCAGGGAGCCCAATGTGGGACTTGATCTTAGGACCCGGAGATCATGACCCGAACCGAAGGCAGACACTTAACAACTGAGCCACCCAGGCACCCAAGAGTTTATTTTAGAGAGTGAGCACGTGAGTGGGAGGGAGGGGTAGAAGAGAGTCGCAAGCAGTCTGCACTGAGCTTGGAGCCCAACACAAGGCTCGACCCCACTACCCTGAGATCATGACCTGAGCCAAAGGCAGACATTTAATCGACTGAGATACCCAGATGCCCCCAGATAGTCAAAGTTCTTTAAACCTCAGCTTCCAAGGCTGTAAAATGGAAACTAATGATACCTGCCTTTCAAGTTGTTCTGAGGATTAGAACTGGTAGGGCCAGTGTAGCACTTGGCAAAGCACTCAGTGTCCTTGAGCCCTTCCATGCTCTACCTGCGCTGACAGGACTACAGAGCAATGTGGCCGATGGAAAGTTAGTGCCACGCCCATGGAAATAAATGACAAAACAGAAGGATCCCAAACCCAGCTAGGCAGGACAGGAGGACATCCCAGAAGAGGCGATGCCTGGGCCCAGCCAGGAGAATGAGGTGGGTAGAGCAGCCAAAGTGCACAAAAGCCTAAGACCCAGAGCAAACAGTTACCAAAATAAGCTTCTTTTGGGGGAAAAATGGGCTTTCTAAAGTCATAGTCTTGCTTCTGAATATTCTTTATTCACAAGTAGGATTATGCAAAAACGACTCAATTCATCATTTCAGTCAAAACAAGTCGTGTCATCATTGCTTTAAAACAAACTTAACAATATACAGTTGACTCTTGAATAATGTTGGGGTTAGGAGTACCCCCCACTCCCCACACAGTTGAAAATCCAAGTATAGCTTCTGATCCCCAGAAACTTTACTTCCAGCCAACTGCTGACCAGAAGCCTTACAGATAACATAAACAGTTGATTCATACATATTTCGGTTGTTAAATGTATTATATATTCTTATAATAAAGTAAGCTTAAGAAAACCATAAGGAAAATACATTTAAAGTACTGTACCATATTTATTTTTAAAAAAATAGCTGTAAGTGGACCCAAGCAGTTCAAACCTGTGTTCTTCAAGGATCAATACAATGTATACAACGAGCGCACATTTCATACTTCAGTCATTTTCTTCCTCTTCACCTGCTGCTTTTCTCTTTCTGGAAGCCTCAACTCCTGAACAGATACAAGAGATGAGGTAATATTCAGTTTCAAACATTTCTAGAAACTTTGCCTATAGTAGTTTTGAGCTATCCTCAACAAAACAGTAGCAAAGCAAATCCAACAATATGAAATAAATAAATAAATAAATAAATAAATAAATAAATAAATAAATAAATAAATCAACTGATCAAGTGGAATTTATTCCTGGGTTTGCAAGGGTGGTTCAATATTTGCAAGTCAATCAACATGACACATCATATTAATAAGAGAAAGGATAAGAACCATATGATCATGGGGCACCTGGGTGGCTCAGTTAAGTGTCTGCCTTGGTCATGATCTCAGGGTACTTGGACTGAGCTCCACATTGAGCTCCCTGCTTAGCAGAAGTCTGCTTCTCCCTCTGCTGTGCTCTCTGGTTCTAACAAATATCTTTTTAAAAACCCATATGATCGTTTCAGTAGGTGCAGAAAAAGCATTTGATAAAAGTACAACATCCACTCATAATAAAAACCAACAAAATAAGTTTAGGGAGAATGTACCTCAATGTAATAAAGGCCACCTATGAAAAACTCACAGCTAACATCATCCTCAGTGGCAAAAAAACACTCAGCTATTCCCCGAAGATCAGGAATAAGACAAGGATGTCTACTCTCACCACTTACTCAACATAGTACTGGAAGTCCTAGGGACAGCAATCAGACAACACAAAAATAAAAGGCATTCACTATTTACAGATGACATGATACTGTATTTAGAAAACCCAGGACTCCACCAAAAAACTGCTAGAACTGATACACAAATTCAGTAAAATTGCAGGATCCGAAATTGATATAGAGAAATCTGTTGCATTTCTATACACCATAATGAAGCAGCAGAAAGCGAAATTAAGACAACAATCCCATTTACAGTTGTACCCAAAATAAGATAACTAGGAATAAACCTAGCCAAAGAGGTGAAAATTCTGAACTCTGGAACTATAAAATACTGATGAAAGAAAGTGAAGAAGACATAAAGAAAGGGAAAGCCATTCCATGCTCATGGGTTGGAAGAACATATATTGCTAAAATGTGTATACTACCCAAAGCATTCTATACCTTTAATGCAATCCTTATCAAAATACCAAAAGCATTTTTCACAAAAATAGAATAAACCTAAAATTTGTATGGAATCACAAAAGACCCTGAATAGCCAAACCAATCTTGAAAAAGAAAAGCAAAGGGGCACCTGGCTGGCTCAGTGGTTGAGTGTCTATCTTTGTCTCAGGTTGTGATCCTGGGGTCCTGGGATCGAGTCCCACATCGGGCTCGCTGTGAGGAGCCTACTTCTCTGCCTGTGTCTCTGCCTCTCTGTGTCTCTCATGAATAAATACATAAAATCTTAAAATTCTGGACTTCAAGTTTTATCTCAGAGTTGTAGTGATCAAAACAGTATGGTAGTAGCACAAAAATAGTCACATAGATCAACAGAACAGAAAACCCAGAAATAAACCCATGATTATATGGCCAATTAGTCTTCAACAAAGTAGGAAACAATATGCAATGGTGCATATTCAGCAAATGGTGTAGGGAAAACTAAACAGCCATATATGTGTGTGTGTGTGTGTGTATATATTAATTAATTCAAAATGGATTAAAGACCCGAATATGAAACCTGAAACCATAAAAATCCTAGAAGAGAGCACAGGCAATAACTTCTCTGATATCGGCCACAGCAACTTTTTTTTTGAGATCGGTCCCCTGAGGCAAGGGAAACAAAAGCAAAAATAAACTATTGGGACTTCATCAAAATAAAAAGTTTTTGTACAGCAAAGGAAACAACAAAACTAAAAGGCAACATACTGAATGGGAAAAGAGATTTGCAAATGACATATCTGATGAAGGGGTAGTATACAAAATATGTAAAGACCTCATACAACTCAGCACCTAAAAACCAAATAATCCAATTGAAAAATGGGCAGAAGACATCCAAATGGCCAACAGACACATGAAAACATGCTCATCATCATTCATCATCAAAATCAAAAACTGAAGAAACGTGTTGGTGAGGTTGCGGAGAAAAACGAACCCTCTTGCACTGTTGGTGGGAATGCCAACTGGTGTAGCCAGAGCAGAAAACAGTTTTAAGATGCCTCAAAAAATTAAAAATAGAACTACTCTACCATCCAGCTACCACCCAGCAATCGCACTACTGGGTATTTACCCAAAGAATATAAAAACAGTAATTCAAAAGGATACACGCACCCTGATGTTTACATATAGCAGCATTATTTACAATAGCCCAAGTGTCCATCACTAGATGAATGGATAAAAAAGATGTAGTATATATACACAATGGAATATTACTCAGCTCTAAAAATGAATGAAATCTCGACATGGAACTAGAAAGTACAATGCTAAGTGAAATAAGTCAGAGTAAGACAAATACCCTATGATTTCACTCATGTAAAATTTAAGAAACAACAACAAAAAAATGAACAAAGGAAAAAACAACCCCAAGAAAGAGACTCTTAACTATAGAGAACAGATGGTTACCAGATAGGAGGGGGGGTTGGGGGATGGGTGAAACAGGTGATGGGGATAAAGAGGGCACTTGAAGTGCTGAATCACTATATTGTACACCTGAAACTAATATAACACTGTTAATTAACTGGAATTAAAAACTTAAAAAAAAAAAAAAAACCTTAAAATAAAGTGGTCTGAACTGATGGAGGAGCCAGCCCTTCACATTAGAAGGCCACCCTGCAGCAACAACCCAGGTCCTCAGACACGATGTCTAGCTGGTCAGGCCCCATGAACCCGGGCTTCCCCTGGGCAGCTGTCAGGCCAGGAGGGACAATTCCTCCTCACTATACTGACTGACATTCTGATCATATTGCTTGAAATACATTCCCCTGCTTCCTCAGTATTTCATTTTTTTCTATCTAAAATTTTGTATTTTAAAGCTTGTGGAAAAATAAAATAAAAAAAAAAGCCTGTTGGTTTTAAAAAAGGACTGCTTGCATTTTATGTGTTTTCAGTATACTTTTAAAGTTTTTTTTTAAAGATTTTATTTACTAATTTTAGAAACAGAGCAAGTGAGCAGGGGTAGGGGTGCAGAGGGCAGTGGGCAGAGAATTTCAAGCAGACTGCACTAGCATGGAGCCCGACTTGGAGCTCAATCTCACAACTCAAACCAAAATCGTCACTCAACAGACTGAGCCACCAGGTGCCCCTGAAGTTTTAAATATATATTTTTATATGAAAAGTGAATGTCTCCCTTAGGTGACCAGTGCTTAACTGACATGCTTAACATTTCTGTTACTGTGATGTTTACTCTGATCTGTGACGCCAAACCTAGAGTGAAGCATGTTAAACATTCAGAAAGAAAACAGTGAATCAATTAAACTGGCATATGGGAAATACAGTGATTCCCTATATATTTAAGACTTAAAATTTATTTGTAGGGACGCCTGGGGTGGCTCAGTGGTTGAGTGTCTGCCTTTGGCTCAGGGTGTGATCCCAGGGTCCCAGGATCAGGTCCCAGGATCAAGTCCCACATTGGGCTGTGTGAAGCCTGCTTCTCCCTCTGCCTCTCTCTTTGTGTCTTTCAGGAATAAATAAAACCTTTAAAAAATTTTTATTTGTACTTATGACATCATAAGTGGAAAAGGAAAAAATTAAAGGAAAAATATTTCAATAACGTGAAAACGGAATAACCCTCAATTACTATTATACCCAAACAATGAAGACACCCAGTTCCCAGGATGCTTCTTGCTCTACCACACTGAATTACTACTGAGCGTGGTGGTGCCTCAGGGCCCCACACGTTTCCTCACAGGCCTTTCCATCCCCCCACTTAGGACGCCCTCCAGGCCCAAGTGCCCTGCAACCTAAGACTTTGCTCTGAGGTCTCCTCTGAGCAGCCTTCCAACACCCACCTGAACAAAGGATCAGACTCTCCTCTGGCCACTCCTGGTCCAATCACTGCACTTATCTCCCTGAGTTTCAGTGAAGTGTACAGACATCTGTCCGTGCTCCTGGGCTGGGAGCTACTCTTCATTCCAGGAGTGGACTAGAGGAAACGGTAAACCTCTAGCATCGAATAAATTTGGTTTTACCTCATCACTGGTCAGTTTCCTTGCTCTCAGTAATTTCTTCTGATCCCTCATCACTGTCGGAAGTACAGATTTTGGCTCGTTCCTCTGAAAGCAAAGGAACTTCAGAAGTGAGATTTTCTCTCATAGAGGAAGACCTGTGTATTCCTGAGTTTTTTTCCTGACTGTTGTTGCTTCCCACTATACATTTTCCCTTGAGGAGCCGACAACATCTTTAAGGTTTTGATGAGGTGTATATAACTTTCAGACATGCTGAAATGACTTTGATTTGAGAGATTTTGTTCTGAGAGAGAGGCAAGGCTTTTAAACACCTAAGAGGTTTTATGCACACATTAAAAATTACAAAGTTTAAATACCGGCTCAATACGCAAGCAGGCAAACTGCTCATCACACATTTTCCTCTGTAAGGACATAAATTATTTAATTGACTTTACTTTGGGGGTGCCTTATTTTCCCAGCTAAGCTCTTCTGTGGGAAAGTAGCCCTAACTAAAAATAAAAGGCCTTTGTACTATTGTTCTAAGTAAATCACAGCAGGACAGGGAGTAAACGCCCATCATCAACCTCTGTGGTCCTCAGGTGATGAAATCGAAATCGGATCTCCATGCGCAACTCACCTTGGAGCTCCCCTTGGTAATGGTTTTTAATGGCTTTGGCACCTTCCTCCTCCTCATGGATGCTGTTGGGGTCCTGGTAGGGGACACTCAGCCGCTGCTGGCTCTGCTTCTCCCACAGATGGATTGTCTGGTGAGTAGAAGCCCTCAAACGTTCTTCTTTCTATAAAGAAGCAAACCAACTTTTTAACTGAAAAACTGAACTACCTTTGTGCCCATTTGAACCTACATTTACTATATTTCTTGTCTTCAGAGTACGGCTCTCTCCATTCCACACCTGCTACCACACACAGAGATCACTTTGTAGAGTTTAATTCTAAGGCGTGAAGGCAACACAGGGTGAGGAGGCAGGAGGCTCCCTCGCGCCAACCACCCAATCAGGACTGGCACAGACATGGCCTCGGGAGCTGCAGAATCCCCTGCGCCACCAGCCACTCAGAGCCCAGAGAGCAGCAACCAGCCTGAGGAACCTCATCCATGCCCAGTGTGTTTCTGCCTGAGGGAGGCTGTGTCTGCCAACCCCTGAGACCGACCCCTGGCTTGGTCAGGCACCACCAAACAACACTAGTGCCTAGATGTTCCTGTCTGGGCATCTCACTCCGGAGAGCTTCCCCAGAGCTCCGGATGACAAGATGGGGAGGTGCTGGCATAGGGGAGGGTCCCTGAGCCCAAAGCAGAACATTCATACCCTTCCTCTGCCTGGCAATCCACACACTGCTGTTCACAAGCAGAGCCAGTGTTGGGTCAGGAATGTCTTTTTGACCTTCCTAGCATTTCCTGTCTGGCTAACAAAGTTTTATGGTATCTGTCAAAGTTGGTATTTTCTAAATTATCAGGTTCCCCCTGAAATCTCATCAACTGGAGAGTGAGCCCATGAGTGGCTGGTTTGCTCTGGCTGGTATCCAACCAGTGGCCATTGACATGACTATGGTTAACTACACACTTGGTTTAGGTTGGCTCCCTGATAACTGTAAGAAATAAAATGGTTGTGGCATTAATTGTGAATTAATATTCTGGAAAGTACAGCTTTTAATACCCCCAAAAAAATCCCAAGATAAAACATAGCCAATATACCTTAATCATTTCTGTGCGCTGGCACTCAGGATCACAACCAGCAATTGGTAAGATTCTAATCCTCTGTGTCTTTGAGCATCTATTACCAAGTGGCAGGGTCATCTTTCTCTGTGTGGCACAGTCTGTAGAATGAGGTCTGCTGGGACATGGACAAGAATGTGTCACTGTAGACTAAGAACATTTAGAGGCGATTATCTCAACGGCACAAACAGCTGTGGACAGTGACCACTTCCCCTGCAGCAGATGAGGGAAGCGGGGCACAGGTCCTGGGGCTCTGAGGCTTCCTCATTCTCTGGTTCCAACCTCCGTCCCATTTCCCAGGACATGGTGATGGGGTGAAGTGCAAGTGGAGGAAGGAAGAGAACAGGTGGCAGGGTCAAGGACTTGTCCAAAGAAACCCCCAACAACAATCAGAGACAGAAAAAGGGATATGAAATCTCAGTTCCATGAGGGTGCTGCAGAGGCCAGAAGTTGCAATTCAAGAAGTAAAGAAGAGTCTCTCCATCTGAATACGATTAGAAGGAGGGTCAAAGCAAGGAGGCCTCACGACAGCCCAGGACAGTACCAAGAACAGGAATTGCTGGTGCAGAAAACGTACATTCCTGACTAAAGGAAGGTAGGTTTTAGTACATCAGAGAGAAGAAAGGGTGATCCTCAGGAGGGAGTCTCTGAAGCTGTAGAGAGATGGGACTTAAGGAATGTGGAAAATAGGCCACAATGGAAAAAAACAGGCTGTAGAATCGTTTGTCTTTTACAGCAGCATTTGAGAAAGCTCATTAAGAGGCTGGACTTGAACAGCATTTATTATGCCAGGTCTCTGCACTGCATGACATCTTATGTATTATTTGACTTAACTGACAAAATATCCCTGTGAAGTAGATATTATCGCCATTTTGTAGATAAGGAAACTAAAATTTAGTGAGAGTGAAGGGCGTCTGGATGGCTCAGTAGGTTAAGCATCGACTTTTGGATTTTGGCTCAGGTCATGATCTCAGGGTCGTGAGATTGAGCCGGGTCTGTGCTGAGAGTGGAGCCTGCTTAAGATGCTGTCTCTCCCTCTCCCCAACTTACCCTCTCTCTCTACAAAAATAAAAGAAAAAAAAAAAGGTTGTGAGATTGAGACTCTTCTTCAGCTTAAACAGAAGTGCGGCACAACCTCAAAGCTGTCCATTAGTCTTTAAAATGGAGTAACATTATATTGAGCATAATTTACATACCATAAAATTCACTTATTTTAATACACAATTAAATGATTTTTTAAATTACAAAGTTGTGTGACCATTATTATAATCTGATTTTATTTATAAAGATATTATTTGAGAGAGAGAGAGAGACAGAACACAAGTTGGGGGTGGGTGAGAGGGGCAGAGGGAGAAGGAGAAGCAGACTCCCCACTAAGCAGAGCCCGACACAGGGCTCCATCCCACACCCCTGGGATCATGACCTGAGCCAAAGGCAAACCTTTAACAGACAGAACTACCCAGGAGGACCTACAATTTGATTTTAAAACATTTTCATGATCTCAAAAAGAGACCTTGTGTACAGGTAGTCTGTTAAGTGCCCTACTTCAAGGAGAGCCACATGAAGGACAACAGCTCTGTGTCCTTAGAGGGAAGGTATGCTAAGGAGCGCAGGGAGTAGCGTCCAGTGAAGAGGCTGCAGCACAGACAGGGAGCACCTGCCTGCCTGGGGTCAAACTGCAGCCCCTCACACCATTTAGCCCTTTCCTCTACTCTGTGCTCACCCCAGACAACATGCTCATGATCGGCTGGCCTCCCCGCTGAAGGGAAAGGACACAGACCAGCTAAGCAGCACAGACCAGTCTTCTAGGCCTCCTGCCAGGTGCACCAACCAATGTGAATTCATTCACTGGTCTGGTTTACACTGTGGTCGCCTGCCAGTTTTGACATTAACTGGCTCCCTGAGAAACAGCAATTCGTAGTAAAGGTGAAAAAACAGTGTGGGAAACAGACCACGTCCCTGGTGAGCACCCTGTAATCATGTCAGTCAGGGCCAAGTCAGGCTCTCTGCACAGCTCTCAGCCCCACTGCTCTCTACCTACTAGGAACAAAATGTCAGCAGGAACGGTTACCTAAAGATGAGTTTGGATTTAAAGACGGCTCGTCCCTGTAGACCAGTGTCTTCTCGAACGAACAGGTGATTGTGATTGCCCTGCATTGGGGCTTTGTAGACATCAAACACTTCATTGCCTAGATGCAGGGAAAGGCTGCAAAGAAGAAACCGTTCAGTACTGAGGGGCGGGGGCACTGAACAAATCCTACCATCTCCATGTTCTCCTCCTGGCTTTACTTAAAATGCTATGGGACTGTATACTCAATTCATGAGAAAAACAGAGATGCTATCAATAACTTACTCCCTTTAAAGCAAAAGGTGGTAAAATGCATCTTTCTTTAACCTGAAATTGTTTTTGTCATTTTCCCAGTCTCTACCATGTCGTTACTAAAACAGAAACATTTTTCCCCAAAATACCAATTTATACTGTGCAATGACACCTCACGCATGTGAGCTAGCATTACGCTTTCACCCCAATAAGGCAACTACCATGAATCTGATCACATCTTGAGCCTACTCCTAAAGTGTCCTCCTCCCAGAGGCCTAGATTTTGTTAATTCTTTAATGAAAGATGGCCCCAAAGTAAGGTCCTGCACAGAGAACTCTGGGTCTTTCAGTGCTCTTCAGGTATTATGGGCTCACCTCTCATCTGACCACTTGACCACCCGAGCATTGCTTTCCTTAATTTCATGTCCATACTCATCCCAGCGTTTCCTCCATCTTATCGTATTTTCCACCTGGTTCAAAACATAAGGGCATTAGAAAACCAATGTAACTAAACTGCATGTTCTTTTTTCCTCAAGTGACTTATAATCATGTGCCAAGAATTCATAGGTTAGTGACAAAGGAAGCTCACAAAATAAATAGCCCATCAGGCAACACTGAAACACTCCTGCCACAAATATCTAGAAATATTGAGTAAACTAGCCATTTTGTTTAAATCTTTCCTAAGCTCTAGTTCAAAGCAGTGGAAGCAGAAGCTGAGTACAATGCAAGATCGAAGTATTATCACACACAGTAAGAGCTTCAAAAGAGAGAAGATGAGACTTTGGGTCCACATGAGGTAGGCAGTTAAAATGGAAGTCTGCCTATTGCAAGTCTATGAAGGGCTATGAGCCCAATGAAAGAGGGACTAGTAAGCCTGGCCTAGTAAGACAGGGAAGCTCTGGGCATTAAATTAAAAATAAAATAATAAAAGAATGTACAATTAAAAAATTAACAAATTAAAACCTAACACACTTTGCCCTGTTTTTAGTTCAAATTTGTCCTATCCATGTAGTAGGAACTCCAAATCACAAAGGTAGCATAAAAATTGGTTCTGCCTGGGATGCTTGGGTGGATCAGTGGTTGAACATCTGCCTTCGGCTTAGGGCGTGATCCTGGGGTCCTGGGATTGAGTCCCACATTGGGCTCCCTGCATGGAGCCTGCTTCTCCCTCTGCCTATAGGTCTCTCATGAATAAGTAAATAAAATCTTAAAAAAAAAAAATTGGTTCTGCCCGTGACAGAAGCTCATACGCAACCCCAAGCAACAAGACAACATCCCTGTGACAGCACTGGAGTGTCCTGCCATCCCAGGCCTTCCTGAGAGGAATCGCCTGAAGAAAAGGCATCTCCTTGTGCATAATCTGAATTCCATAAAGAGTCTGCGAGATTTCTACTGTTGGAAGTTGTGAGAAGCTACCCACTATAAAAGTAGAGGCAGTTCCATATACCTAACTATATTTATCCTAAAGGAAGTAGCTAACAACTTTCAAGAATTTTTATTGTTACTTTAATTGAAAAATTACAACTGTGAGAAATAGGTTAGAAGAGTGACCATTGCAGGGATTAAAGAGTATGTAACTTCTCCCCTAAAAATATTCTGAAAAGACATTTCAGTCCTTGTTCCAAACAGTTACTTATTGACTGAAAAGTAAACATAAAAGAACATTTCATAATCTCAAGTCTCAAATCATTATGTTTTAATGAAAAACCTCAAAAAAAAAAAAAAAAGGAAATATAGAATAGTACCTTTAATTTCAACCTGGTTCTATCTTCCTCATCAAGCACTTTCTCACCTTCAAATTCATCTTCATAATTCTGAGGATCAAAAGGTCTAAAAATCGTTTTTTAATCACGTATTAGCCATATTTAGTAATGAATATTATTAATGCCATAAAATAATCTTTACAACATGTACCAATATACTAAAAATCACAGGAGGCAGAGAGCTTCATGTATGCTAGTTTGCATACTTTCTTGAAATTTGATTTTAAAACATTATCTGAAATAAAATCCAACTGTGACTAATAATTTTAAGTCTTGTTTGAAGAAATGTCTTCTAAAATGAGACATAGTCTACCTTTCTATTTTTTTTTAAAGAAAAGGCATCCTGTTTAAACTCATGAACCTTCATGAGAAATACTCATCAATACTATTTTGTTGTCCAAAATCGTCTTTTCTAGTTACAGTGGCTTTTGCGCTGAATATTTATGATTTCTCTAGCAAACTTTGTCAATCTCATTTTCTGATTTTTTCAGCTTTATACTAATGAAAAACACCTTTACCAGCTGTCAAGTCTGTTTATTTATAAGTGCCAAAATGCTGGAAGAATCATTCACTTTAAAATTCTCACATTATTAGTAACTCATCATTTTTCTGCCACAGTGCATCCTAAATTTACTTTTCCAGAGGTATATGAAGAATCCCCCTTCTTTATAATTAGCCAACTCATGATAAGAAAAAACATTTATATTCCACATGTTTTTATTTAAGATCTTGAAAATAAAACTTTAATCAGCCCTCTTACTTGGGTTCTATGCTGAGGAATTTAGGTAGTTTAACAAAGTACAATTCATTTCCTAAATCAGAGTTGATACTGGGGATTTCTACTTCTATTCTGGTTTCAGAAATCTGCTCTTCCTCCTGTTGGTCCTGAGGCAATCCATGTTCATCCTAAGAGAGGAATCAGAATGTGAGGGTTTGAAGTGAAATTAAAAATGTTCCAGCTCTTTTCTGGTACTAGGAGATGTAGGTATAACCAGAAGTAAATTCAGATGCCACTTTAGGGACAAAGCAGTCCATAACCCCTTCAGGCCTCTCCCTAAAATTTCATCCTCTTCCCCAGAAATACCACCACAGAAACAAGATCTCTTAGCCCTCATTACCAGAAAAAATATCTATTTTGTTGACCTATCTAGTTTCCATAAGGCATTAAATGAAAGAACTGTGAAAATGTGTAACCCCTCAGTACTATTAAAATCAGAGCAGAAAGTCAAATAGCACATGCTTTCTGGCACAAGTTTGTATTAAGAAAAACTTAAAGGTTTTCAAATAATGAGTCCTCACAGTTTAGCCCCAAAAGTTTGGCATCATCCTCATTTTGATCAGTTTCTCTGTGCCCTCAAATGCCCACAATTCCCAACATAGCTGAGAAAGTCACCCTGATTCACCAAGTGTTTCAGACCGCTTCTCAATTCTACTCAATTATCAATGTCCTCTTTTCATAGGAGGCAGACCCTTCAGCCTTTGAAACTTTCTTTTTAACCTTGAATAATGGAACCTGTTGAGGTTAGTGATTGTACTTACAACAGCCTGCCTTGGAATAGGTTGCTCATTGTCCCCATCACTCTCTGAAGAAATGTCATCTATGTCTCCAAACAGATCCATGGTCCTACTATAATCTTCAATGCTGGGAGAACACGTACAGTATTAATTTCTCTGACTGAAGTTCTTTACACAGTTCTTAGCCCATCACTTCAACATTTTCTCAAGATTCAGAAACCAAATCTCCACTAAGCCAACCTTGATCTGGCTCCCTGAGCCAAGCCCTCAAAAGCATAACAAGCATCTATAGAGAAGGAAGGTGGTCAAGATGGTTAGTAGAAGGCAAAGCTGCTGTGATAGCCAGTTTTCAACATAGTTCCTGGTGGTTCCTGCCTGATATTCCTGCCCCCTGCAATCTCCTCCAACCCGTGTCATGGTTGGTTTATGTGATCAACAGAATATAACTTCACTTCCAAGGCTAGGCCACGACATTATGGTTTTTCTGCCTTGCTCTTTCTCTCCTTAAGTCACTTGCCCTAGAGGAAGCCAGCTGCCATGATGTGAAGACACTCAAACTGCTATGGAGAGGCTCATGTGGCGACAAACTGAGGCCTCCTGCCAAGAGCATATTAGTGAGCTGTTTTTGAAACAAATCCTTCAATCCCAGGCAAACCTATAGAGAATACATTCTCAGCCAATATCTTCATTGCCACAAAAACCCGGAGCCACAACTCCCCTGCTAAGCCAATCACGACCGTCAGAAATTATAAAATATTAAATTAAATGTTTGTTGTTTTCATCTGGCCTTCTCAGGGGATGTAACTGATCTGGCCTTCTCAGGGGATGTAAGTGGAGGTGAGGGGGTGATACGCATGTAACATAAGACATGTCTAATCCAACTCTTATCTCCCTACGCCTTTGGATTCCCTCTACACAATGCCAGGGAAGCTTCATTACAAGTAGGCCACCAATGAGTTTGTTTAAGCTAACCAACTTATGGAGCCATGTCTTGCTATGAAAACATCACGTCCTGAATATATAAGTGTGCCCAAAGCAGTCGATTTGGCCCAATAGTCTGTCCTTCATCTCACATTCTTAAATACGCTTCCACACATATTCCCTTGGCTTCTCCCTGTATCAGTCAAGTCTTGTAGTTCTTTTGGTATATAAGCTATTTCTTCTTCAGAGTTTGTGCTTTCTCGGTCAGAGTATGCAGAGATCCTAGTGATGGGTCTACTGGTAACAAGTGGGTCAGACAGCATGCAGCTGGCTGAGTCTAGAGAATGGAAGCTGCCCCAGGTGACATTACAGTGTTTTCAAGTAAGGAAAACCCAGTTTCCTCAGGTACAGGGGAGCAAACTGCTTCTCACAGGTAAGGGAAGCTCAGAGTGACTAGGAAATTGAACTAGGAAATGCATCATGAGTCCAAACAGATATCTCACTCCCAGCTTCTTTCTCTATGTCCTTTTGGGGTGCCTGGAGGAGCTCGGTCAGTTATGCATCTGCCTTCAGCTCAGTCCATGATCTTAGGATCCTGGGATGGAGGCTTGCATCCAGCTGAGGCTGAGCACGAGGCCTACTTCTCCCTTTTCCTCCGCCCCTCCCCACAGTTCGTGTGCTTTCTCAAATAAATAAAATCTTAAAAAAAAAAAATTTTAAAAAATGCCCTTTCATATGAGAGACTTCAAAATGCTAGGAATTCAACTAAGTTGCAATTCTGTAACCATACAATTAAATGTTTAATATTCAGCTACCTCAGCCCTCTAACTATGAGATAGGAGATTCTTTTAGGGCTGTTAGGAAAGTTCACTGGTTCTCTGACCACGACCTGAGCTGAATGTTTAAAGACCTAAGCTTGTAATTCCCTTCTGTAAGTACTCCAGGGCACTCAGAAGTATCTACTCCATACCACAGTCCACACAATCATCACTACTGCCTAACAAATGTAGTAGCCACTTGAGCCCTCAACCAGGGGGGATAATCTGATTTATCATGCCACCATACCATGCATTACCACCACACCCTTCCACACCTTTCAGACCTGCATTGAAACCCAAACTAACCTACAAATCACATCTTTAAGGATTTGTCTCCTGACTACTCAATTAGGTCTGAGTTGGGCAACAGAAAACACCAGCTGTCTGTACATACAGTATTTAAAATTTTTTTACTTAAATTTTCCACTCACTCCTAGAAATGAGGGAACAAAATGAAGAGGTGGAATTATTAAGCTTAAAAACTTACAGTATGGAGCTGAAACTCATACCTGAGGAAGAGAAGTATCCAGCTGGCACTGATGCCTCTGGGGGGGGCGGTGTTTGTCACTGAAACTGGCTCTCCAAGTGTTGGTAAAGC